TGCTTGTAATTAATTAAAAATTAGTATCAAAATAAAGATAAATTGAAATGTTGAACCAACACTACATGTGTCTAATATGTGTTTAATATTGTATTAAAATTAGTATCGAAACGAAGATTAATTGCACTGGGGTTAGTTTTACACCAAGGTGTTAGATTCGGTTTAATTTTAATCCAGTGACAAAGAACTTCCGTAATATTCGCCAATTGCACGATTAAATTTTCAACATTGGGCGCCAATTTGTGACATAATAAAAATTGGATACATTTGGACATCTCTGTAAAGTGTGGAGGGTGTTGATTTGCACATATACTTTATGGTTTATACCTAAAAGAATGGGTGGCTTAGTATATGTGTCCTCATTGAGCTAAAGAACAGTGTCAATTCAGTTGATTAACTTACCAATAAATTTTACCATCTAGGTTTAGTTTTTCATATTTTTCATATTATTTATTAGGCATCATAGATATGATTTAATTCTCTAAAAGATTTTTCTTGAAATGTAGGATTTGAATTTAATAAGAATGCAACTTTTTTTCAATAAAATGGAATATCTGTATCTGTAACGTGTGGAGGATGGGTTACCCCATGGCACTTAGGCCTCATTAGGCCCATTGTGCATCCTCCTGAGAAGATAGGCACCTCCTAGCTCGTGAGCCAGCCTACAGATTTAATGTAGTTGACAACGTCACCAAGAGGTGCTTCTCTTATATCGGCCGGTGTTAGCCGATACTCGCCGAACACAAATCTTCTAATACATGAGAGCGTCGAGCAATCGTTAAGGAAACGATAACTATAGAAAAACTGTGCATACCTCATTTATTAATAATTGTGTGTGTATATTTTTGTAAAATAACGTGAGAAATGACTATTTTACATCTTTTTATATGTTAGATGTTGTTTTACCTTTATTTATTTCATTTTACGACTTGGTAATATTTTGAGTTGGAATTACTTTTCATTTTTTTAATTAACTACAAAATTGTAATTGTTGTGGAACAGGACCATGAAAATATATAGCATTAATTAAAAATTTTACATTTAATAAACTTTTAGGGTTTGTAGGGGACATCAAAATAAATACTTTTTGCTCCGAAAATATGTACAAAATCTGATGTGTCCAATACATGACTTCCCTATCTAGTTATTACAGGCTTTTTCCGATTATTTTATACAACTTATTGTAGCACCTTTGTAAATGTTTACAAGATAAACTAAATATAAACACTTTCCACATACATCTAACTCGAAATTTTTTTTAGACATTTCAATGCCAACGAAAATACTGAAAAATTTAAATTTTTTCATAACGGTCCATTTTAGAGAAATCATGTATAAAACAACAATTATAGAGATCGATATCGCTAACATCTTTTAGTTTAACAATTTTCTTAGAAATCAAAACTTTTATTTAAAGAATTTTCTTCTCCAAATGTAAATAACAGATATATTCTATAAAATAAAAAAAACGACCCCTTATAAATCCCCCCCTTAGATTGTCCGATTCTGCCAAAAATCTAATCAATCCACCGCAGGCCAGAATAAAAGTTAATTTTAAAATTTGATGTTTTTCTCTTTATCCGTTTTTGAGTTTTCTTCAAAATTCAAAATTTACACATTTTCTCAATTATCTAGAATACGGTCCGTTTTACAAAAATTATGTCAAACACAAGAATTATAGAAAATAATATAACAAACAACTTTTATTTAAACAATTTTCTAAAAATTTAATTTTTTTACTTTTTGTAAATACGGATCATTTTAGGAAAATTATTGAGAAATTAATAAGTAACTTTTATAAAACAATTTTCTTCGTCATACGTAAATAACAGATATATTCCATAAAATATAAAAATTATCCCCTATAAAGTACCCCCCAAAATCTAAGCAGTTTACCTTAGGCCGAAATAAAGCCTAAGTTTAAAATTTATTGTTTTTATCTTTATCCGTTTTTGAGTTTTCGAAATTTACACTTTCTCTCAAATATCTCGAATAAGGTCCATTTTAGAGAAATTATGTATGGAACAAGTATTATAGAAAATTATATCACAAACAACTTTTGTTTTAATAATTTTAATAAAAATTTGAATTTTTTACATATTGTCAAATTTCTCGATTACGGATTATTTTAGGAAAATTTTGTAAAAACCAAAATTATAGAGAATTGTATTAGAAGTAACTTTTATTCAAAGAATTTTCTTCTCCAAACGTAAATAACAGATATATATTTCATAAAATATAAAAATGACCCCCTATAAAGTAACTCTGCCCAAAACATAATCAGTTTACCTCAGTCCGGAATAGAGCTTAAGTTTAAAATTTGGTATTTTTCTTTGAATCCGTTCATAAGTTACTGAGGATACACACACACACACGCACACAGGCACGCACGCAAGTACGCACGCACATATACACCCACGTACACCCACGTATACCCACATACACACACACACATATACGCACACACACACACACACACACACACATGTGCGCGCGCGCACGCACGCACACACGCACGCACGCACTAGTGATGTCGCAAAACGAGAGATTCGAGACGAGAGTGTGTCATCTCTCGACGAGAATTTCTCGTTTCTCTCGAGCTCTCTCGGGCCCTCTCAAACAATTTGCTTATTTGAAATTTTCAATTGCTTATCGTAACTTAAAATTTTAACATAATAAATTTCGAGATAGTCAAGAAATTAACTATAACACACCTATTCTATATATATTAAATGGTAACAAATGATACTTGTGTTATTAGGATTTTATAAATGGTGATTTATAAGAACAAATATTTATCATTTCATTTATTTAAAATGTATACAATTATTTCTTATATTTAATCCATTCTGCTTTTCTGAGGTTACTTTTGAAGATAAGTTGAAAAATTTTAAGCGTTTTTTTGAAAAACTGTCATAGCAAAGTTAATACAAACGAATGTATTATATACAGTAAGGACGAAAATTGTACCCTCCTCTATTTTAACTTCTAAATGAAAAAGGATAAAGACAAAACCAAAACGAGGTAAAACTCAAGAAATATATTTTTGTTATAACAAGATGCACTTTACTTGAGACACGTAAGATAGAGGGAGTTACTAGCTTTAAATTTTCTAATGGACAGTAGGGTCATGTGATACCTCATTTGAAAGATATTTTCTATATTTTTACGTTCATGTAAACAGATTTAGGTTTTTATGTTGCTGCAGAAATTACATTAAATAAATTCATAAAGCAGGGTAAATGCTTTTTTTTATTTACCGCTTCAACCTCAAAGGATCATTACCGGAGGTTTAATTCCTTATAAATGCTGCTACAATACAATAGTATACAATGGGTGATTAACATTTTGGCTAGTACAGTCTAAATGTCAGTATCTTTTATAAATTTAAGTAATTTTTCACTGTTAGAAGGATTTAACACTGCACAAATGACAAAATTTTTGTAGCTGGTACTTTGTTCTTGTACAGACATGTTCTGGGCCTTTACTAATAAGTTAAATTCTTGATAACTGTCATATTAGCAAGTATTGTTTATTACTAAGGAAACGCTTCTTGTATTTACTAAAATAAATAAATTAAGAATATTAAAGGTGATTTAAAAACCACTTGACGTACTTATTAAATTTTTCATAATTTCTTATAAAGCTTATTAAAAAATTATCTTCTAACAATATTTAACATTTCTAGGATTATTGCGGCACACGAGGATTATCAAGAATGTAATTTTTGTTAAAACAAAAAAAAATTAAAACTGTTTGCTTGGACGTAAATATAATCAAAATATCTTTCAAATGAGGTATTACATGACTTTACTTTCTATTAGAAAATTTAAAGATAGTAACGCCCTCTATTTTACGTCTCAAGTAAAGTGCATCTCATTATATCAAAAATATCATAATATTTCTCTAATTTCACATCGTTTTTGTTTTATGTCTTCTTGCATTTTGAAAATATACTACAAAATACTTTCGTTTGACATCGCAGGATTGCATAAGAAAAATTTTAACTTATAAAATTTAACCTCTTCCCCCCCTCCCCAATTGACTTGCAAGACAAAGTATTTTCGTTTTTAGTTAACGTCTAATCTGGGTCACTTATTACTTTAAATTTCAATTGTAAAACGACTGTGACAGACGAACAGTTAGAGAGACATAAATGTTTCTTATTGCCAAATTTGGGTAATAATGCGCAAATTATTTGAAAAATTATTTGTTTTTGTCTTACAAATTTTACCGTGTTTTCGTGTTTCGTCTTTTTCAAATTTTAATTTGATATTGTTTTATCACGAGAGAAACGAGACGAGACAAGACGAGAGAAAGGCTCTCTCGAGCGAGAGAAGAGCCTTCTCGTCGAGACGAGAGAACAGTTTTCTCTCGCTCTACGAGACGAGACGAGAGAGGCCACTCTCTCGTCTCGTCTTGTCTAGCGGCATCACTAGCACGCACACACACACACACACACACACACGCGCGCGCGCGCGCGCACGCGCACACACACACACACACGCGCGCGCGCACGCACGCACACACACACACACATCATCGCGAAAATAGTCAAAACAGATTCAGGGGACTCTAAAACGTAAAAATCCGTCGAAAACTTGAGGACGAAAAGAATCATGAAAGTCGAAAAAAAACATGATTCCTATCTCCCTTATCTGTTTACAGATAGGAAAGTAAAAAACGGTTTGTTTCCGAAGTACAGGGTATTTAAACGTCGTGTCTTTGATATAACAAATTTTGGTATTTGGAATCAATCTTTTCAAGTAGATAATATATATTATTAATATTTTTATTATAGAGCATTTAATGCTTTAGAAAATAATGGTTATTTAATCACTTTATTATTTTATTTCGTAAATAATTAGGTAATTACCTAGTTAATTTCAATTGTAAAATATTCCAGTTCATATATCCATTTATATAACTATTTTTGGAATGTTTATAGATTCACATATTGTATTGTACATTTTTTCGCTAAAATTGTTAATAAACCAAACTCAAGAGATAAAAATTTAATTAAGAAAAGAGTAAAACATTACATGATTATTCAATTATTTAAAAAAGTATATCTAAATAATATTTACAGCGAAAATAGAATTTTAACAATTTGGTTTTGGGCACAGTTCTACTGGTACACACTTTGAAGTTGAAGTATCTCTGATTAATCCCTTTTTACATCTACACGTTAAAATACATATCTTTGGGCAACTCCAATCATCAGGGATGCTAGGTTTCCTGTTCTGGCAGGTTGGATCAGGAAAACATGGAGCACATCCCTTCTCTTCATGTTTTGGACATACTGAAAAAATAATTCATTCATTTATCAAATGATTTAGGTACATTGGTGACTAATAGGTAACATCCGAGGAAATATCTTAGTTATTGCATTAGAATTTCAACATAGTAGTATTACGTCACAGCTCGTAGTACTTTAGTAAACACGATATACCTATGCCCATCGATTCTCTTGCGAAAATTAATTAAAGTTTATTTTGTTATCATTCAATGATAATTTAAATATACATCCGACTAGTTTTTCATTAACCTAAAAAAATATGTACTCTTATAAAAGGACACAATTAGAAAATCCTCTAAAAGAACCTATCGGAGAAATTATCATCTACTTATTTAAAACTTTTTACTGATGGAGTCCCAAATTAGGAGAGTTTGTAGAGACGTGCCAAATGTCTTTAGAAATCTTACAAAATACCAGTGTACCTATACCCCTTTATGTGCATTGAAGGTCAATTTAGGACAAACTCAAAAATTCTCAGAATTTTTAGAATTCTGGAATATACTCGTCATATTATTATCGACATCGATTACTAGAAAATTATTAACATTTTCTCGTACATAATGTTTTGTGTTTTACCTAATTTGACATTTATTAGGGACCTCTGCATTCTGTACACATTTAAGCATTTTTGTAGGAAATCTTTAATCATACTCCACAATTTTTGAGATCCATATTCAAGTTCTGGCATAATGTTTCCTGAATCTGCTAAATATATTTAAATATGTAATAAGACATACCAGATTTGCAAGCATCTTTTTTAATGCAATGACCCTTAGAAGTAGCTCGAATCCAACCATTTTTTGCGTCACATTCACATCTTTTTACACACAACGTTATGCAAGCGGTTCCAGGTGCTTGGGTAGGATTCGGGATCCGACATGTGGGTTCACCTACGCACATTGATGCACATTTGTTTACTATTTCATTAAGTCCACAGTCTAAAAATAAAAAACAAACCAACATTAGATAAATAATTATTAATAATATAATATGATTCCACAAGGTTTAATCTAAGGTCTGAAGTTCTGAAAAATGTATTAAAGTTAGGTAAAATTTCAACTTTTCTTATGCATTTATTTAATCAAATATGCATATTATAAAACATCAGAACCCGAACGTTTAGATAGTTCAATTGATAATATTGAGACTGTTCATCAAAGTGTGTCTAATAATCTCCATATGCAGAGATTAAGGACATAAAGATAGGAAACGCAACGACCGCAGCAACGATGGCGTCATCTATGCGTCTCAGATGTTAACTAAAAATATATGTCGTTTGCAGACAGACCAGTGTTGCCAAATATTTTTTTTTAAGAGATTGTACAAGTAGAGTAAAAAAATGGTATTTCAACAAAGAAAAAGTACAATAGGTTTATGTATAGCATAATATAGCTTAAATGTAATAATAAAATAAAAAAAAATATTGGCATGACAATATATTTATCTATTTACAAAAATGTTTACAACAAAAAAAACTAAAGAAAATACATGAAACTTTAAAATAACACATAAGTAATCAATAACTGTCACTTGAAAGTGATTGAAATTTTGCATGCAAGCTTTTCTTATGCCGAGATAGGTATGTTGGTACAAAATGACCATGGTCTATGAATATTTGAAAGTAGTTTTTGATTTTTATTGTTTTATGTTCTGAAGTTGTTGCAGATATTTAAATAAACCTACTAAAAAACTAAACATCATATTTTTACATACGATTTCACTGATGCAATCGTACATCGTATAGAGAGTTAAATAATCATATAAATACGATTTCAATGAGACAGACAGCAGCAGACGTGTACAGCAGTGGACAGTTTCTTAATGTAACTATTAGTTTGTTTTATTTATATCGAAGAATCCTGAATTTAAATTTTAAATTTTGAATTCATGATTGTGTTATCCTGTACATAGGCTAAGTGAAATGGTTATGGCTATTTTTGTGTGAAATTTGAGGACAATAATTATATTTTGTAATATTACAATAAGTCGGAGAACGTATTGCATTAGTAACACATGCCACATGAATATATTTAACAACTTCAATATGGCGTTCTTTAACTAACCAAAGTAAGATCTAGTCATGTAAGTAACACAAATATTAACCAAAATTTGTCACAAAGTAGGTATTTATTTATTATTTATTGTTTTAAAACAAGAAAATGGCTTCAAAACGTTAGAAAGTAGATTTGATATAGGAAGAAAAATAAAAATATCTGAATTCCCATTATTGAGTTTGCACTCAATATTTTTAAATAAGACACCATTGGCCATTCGTTTGGATAAGTAGAACAAAAATGTAATGTTACAAATAACTGTCAAAAATTAAAAAATATTTGTCATCAATAGATTTACGATAATTAATCGATAATAGACTGTAAGTATAGTATTCTTTTTAATAAATAATTTAGCGTAATTACATTGTTTAAATTTATTTATACAACCTTTTTTATTAGGTTTTTAAATTTCCCGCTGCGTTGTTTGATATCGATTAAAGCGCCACATAGTGGGTCAGATGTTAGCTGGTCGTTGTTAAGCATTGGCTTCTTATAAACGTTTTCTATCTTTATCTGCCTTATCTCTGTCCATATGTTTATTGAACGTCATTCACAATAGTTAGGTCTGAGCAAAACGACAACATTGCTCGCCTCAACTTACACCAGGCCTAAAGCCAGCCGATCATCTTTAAAAACTCTTTTTTTGTATATTAATTACAACTTCCGTTGGAACTCCATGCAGATACCTTCTATCGGCAAGCATATTTTTGCGTTCAAGTATCTTTAGGTGAAGATCGAATCCACCCATTTTTCGAATCACATTCACATCTTTGTACACACATATCTACGCAAGGTGTGCCAGGTTTTTGTATAGGATTCGGATTTTGACATAAAAAAATTAATCCTCCTAGAAATATATATTAAGGATGAAATAGACCTGATCTACTCTCTTTTATCATAATGCTTTTATACAGCATTTGCCATCGAACATCTTCCAATATCCTTGGCACAACTGCGTGTGAAAACTACAGAGAGCCAGCACTAAAGCAAGCAGGAAAGAAACACATTCTAGAGTAGTGTTGAAGAAACTTTACTCATATATGTACGTATATAAATTAAAACACATTTTTTCTAAACCGCCCTTGACACTTATAGAAACAACTCGAAGACGTTACATCATTTTTCGTCACAAAAGCAAATTGCCAATAGAAGATATCATGTGAATGCGTTCTTATAGCAGGGGCAGAAGTTGGAAAGGCTTTTCGCAGTTTTTCCACTTCATACACAGAAATTGACAGTTTTACGGCGGACCTAGCCGAAATGGAATATTGGCGTACAAATTTATTTTATATATGTTAATAATAATTTGGGATAAATAGTTTAATAAACTGTGAATAGCTGTTGAAATTTTATAGGATTATGATTTGTATATTCTTTGATAATTATTTCTAGTTCATAAACACTTCTCACATTATTGGTGAATGCGCAGCGTGTTATGGTAACAATGCAAAAAGCAACGTCTAAAGTTTATATGTGTATTTCCAGAAAAAAGAGTGAGTTATTATAATGAAGTTTTTAATTTTTAATTTATTTATACAGGGTGTTTCAGAATAAAGTACCGTAATTGGGTATTTGTAGATTTCAACTAATTATAAAGAAAAACCAATTATAATTTTCATTCTACATTGTGATAAAGTGAATTTCATAAATACATAATTTTCTAAATATCTTCCCTTACAGTAAAGACTTTAACTTAAAAATATGTATGTGTTAGTTAATCGTTAGTATTAGTTAACACACTCTATTTCGATAAATTATGATAAACCATTGGGGTAGAATCAAGGGATAAGGAAACAATCTTTATCAAAACTTTTTTAACACCCTATATTTATATTTCATAAAACTTAAGATTATTAATTATTTCTCACGCAATTTGTCACAAAATGGGGACTTTTGGTTTATCCTTGTAGATCATTCCAATTCCGAGGTGATAGATATGATTTATTTTATACAGACGTTTTGAAACATGTATTAAATATGGCTAATTTTAGGTTCAATTTTATCAATTTGTTCCAATGCAACACCCTATATATTATTTTGGCATAAAATTCCTTATAAATTTACCTATTCAACGATACTAACATGTTAGCCAGTAAAACATACAGGATGTCCCAATAGCGCATAACTGATCGATAGCTGTTTTATTATTGGAAAGAGGAAAAAAAAATAATATAAAAGTTGTATGATCATATTTAATGAATATTCTTAAATATAAAGGTGGTTTCATAAACGAGGGGCTGACTAAACTAATATATTTTTATATTTTATTGTTTTCACATCGTCAAACAATTTTAATAGAAATAAAAATGTTCTTGGTTTATTCGATCGTTTTTATTTTCTGTTGTTTAGCACTACATATGTTTCGGAAAACTTTTCCATTTTCGGGTGCCGTCAAAATTTTTTAAAACACAGGGACGATTACAAATAATTTAAAAAATTTTAAAAATTTTAGCTGCACCCGAAGATGGAAAAGTTTTCCGAAACATGTGTAGAAGAAAATAAAAACGACCGAATAAACCAAGGAAATTTTTATTTATATAAAATTCTGCTACGGTTAAGAAATTATTTTTATTTAAATTTTAATAAACTTCATTTATTTGCTGTTGTATATAGGGTGTTTCAAAACGAGGGGTAACGATTTTGTTAATTTTTCTAAATGGAATACCCTACATGTCATTCCATCAATTAATTAATACAGGTTATTCCATTTAAGAAGTTAACAAAATCGTAACCTCACATTTTGACACATCCTATATACAACATAGCAAATAAATGAAGTCAATTAAAATTGTTTGACGATGTGAAAACAATCTAATATGTATAACTACATGCAGGTTGTTTTGCTTTATAAAAAGTATAGATTTGGTCAGCACCTCTTTTTATATTTTAATAACTTTTTTATAAATTTTACATTTTGTTGATCAAGTTTATGGATTTCCTATAGTGGTAAGACATCCAGTTGACTTGGTATGTAGATATATAATGTTAAATTATTGTAGATTGTACTCAATCGTTTAATATGCCTGAAGATGACGTTGTAGGTCGAAAGCGCTTGCAAGCTTTACCACTAAGATAAAGATAAGATTTTAAAAATATATATAGATTACATTATCCGCGTCTATTTACATCTTCCTTTCTTTTTGTTTTACTTCTTTCAATCATTATCTGTTCAATTTATTTTCCATTCGCTGATATTGCTGGCTGGCTGCCTATGCTAAAAGTAGTAGTGTCCTGAAGTCACGTATTCGAACGGTCAGATTGGGCAACGTCGCTCGCTCAGGAAGGTCTCAGATACAGAATATTTACATGCAAGAGGGCTACGAAAATTTCCACCTGGTTTCTGTGTTAACAGTGTATAAGGTATAGGCAGTGAGTCGGTTTATTATCTTAGCCAATGTTGTACTAATGTACAAATTATTTTAAAAACCAATTTTTAGAAACTTATGTATGAAAAATGCAATAATAAATTTTTGGAATTGCCTACTCCCGGTTTAAATCTTACTCAGGCAGACAAAAATTCAGAAGGTTCGTACACAAGACGATATTCAAGGCAAGTGTATAATAAAAACAAATGGATGTGTTTTAACAAATTAGACAAGTGGTTTAACGAATTAGAAGATAAATGTGTCAAAACTATTACTTATACACAGCATCGACAATATTGACAAAAAATGGTAGAACACAAGTGCTTAGGTTAGTATAAATAAAGAGTATGCTACATTAAAGGTATACTACTAATCACTTAAAGTGTTCAGTAGTTTTTGATAAATTTTATATTTTAAGTGACTTTTAAAAGTAGTACCACGAACCGCCACTGCGGTAAAGGGTACAAATATTTTTACACAGGCAGGCTTAAAGCGTAAAAAGCCTAAATATTTTTATATGTAAGCACAGGCGAAAATACTAAACAGACCAAATTAATGTTTTAAAATAGATAGGCTTAAGGTAGACATGGGCCAAATATTATTACGTGCAGGGGCGGCTGGTGACCATAATTTTGGGGGTTCACAGTAGCAGAATATAAATCCCGGTACAGATATAGGTAATAAACTGCCAGTGTTTTAGAAAGGTATATTATAAACTTTCTAAAACACGGAAAGTTTTTTCATACATCTGTACTGATACCTATATTCTGTCACTGTGAACCACGTGACATACGTACGTGGACATACTTTGGGGTAAAGGATCCAACTATTTTTAGATGGGCAGTCACAAGAAGTAAAGAGTCCAATTATTTTTGTATAAATTGTAAAAAATATCATACCCTAATTAAAAGGCGACATGGATTGGTTCGTAGAAACTAAAGCTCGCAATGTAAAGGTCCGTTCAAAATCAAATAGTTTTTTGATTTAGCGTCTTCGAATTTTCATTAAAATTTATAATAAAATAAAACTTTTTAATGTTACGAAGCAAACTTAAGTATACACTATACAGGGTTGGCCAAACCTCTGTCGTAGTTCTATAACTCCTACTATGCAAATCTTAACGATTTATTTGATGTATACCTGTCAATGGTGGCCAATACCAAATATCCCAAAATTATTTTCTTGTGTACAGGGTGGCCCAATACTAAATTAGGCAAATCACTTAATTTTTTTTAAATGGAATGACCCAACTTTTTTCACAATTTTAGGTACTCTATGGTCACTAGTACTTACCCACAAAATATTGTTTCTAACATCCCACCCCTTTCGCAGAAAAAAAATTACCAAAAAATATTACATTTTCAGACGCCTATTAAAATATGCAGTGCTCTCTCGAATTTGATGTTAGAATTTAAAAAACTACGATTGTATAAAGCCAATAGACCAAAGATTTTTTTGGACTAAGTTTCAATTTTTTATTCTGTACAGGGTGGTCACAAATTAATTTCACTTTCCAAAAATTTCGAGGAAATTTTTTTAAAATTTTTCAAATGTATTACCCTGTATTTCTATTCATCAACTAAAGGAGAATTTCATACCCTTCCACTTCCCTATGTACTTTCCTATACCTATCTGTCGCCATTATAAAATAAATTCAAAAGGAAGAAAATTACGATAATAAAATTTATTTGAAATTTATCCTAAAACATAAATTTACATTTAATAAAAGATGCTCAAAATGTCTGCCATTTTCTCTAATGCATACATTTATTCGTTGGGCGAATGATCGAGAAACGTTTCTAAGCATATCAGGTGTAATGGAATGGAAAGCTTGCACTATCCTTTCTTTCATATTTTCAGGTGTTGTAGGTGGCGTAAGATAGACTAGATTTTTAATATAACCCCACAAAAAATAATCGGGTTTTGTTAAGTCAGGTGATCGAGCTGGCCATTTTTTTTTCTACCAATCCATCTATTTGGAAACTTTTCATCTAATTCATCTGCCACTTCGCGTATTAACGAATCCGTTCTTGTGGAATGTAGATTCATCAGAAAACAGCACTCTATCAAAAAAAAAAATGGATTTTGTTGCAGTTTAGTTTGTGCCCAGTTACAAAACACCATTCTATTATCAAAATCGGTGTCTTTCAGCTCTTGATGCAATTGTATTCTAAAAGGATGATATTGATGCTGTTTTAAAATGCTTCTAACGGATGTTCTACTTATACCTACTACTTCGGCAATATTTTTTTGACTTACATGAGGATCTTCTATCGCTGTCAAAATTACAGATAATTGGTTATCATTATCAGTAGCACGTTTGTCAATTATTGGTTTTTTATAAGCAACATTTCCTGTTTCGGTAAATCTTTCATGTAACTTTTCAAAACTTTTTTGATCAGGGATGCGTCTATCGGGATATCGTTGATGATAAATTCTTTTTGCCAATAAACAATTTCTGTCGAATTCTCCCAAAACATAGACCATGTCAAGTAATTCGTTTTTCGTAAAATTCATTATTAATAGAAGAATTATGGCGATCAGTAAAAATAACTTGACACTTCATTAATAAATAATCTGACACTTCATTAAGACCCAGCCTACTTGATTGAATGTTCACTTTCAATAAAACCACTGGTAGAAATTGGATTTTTGATAAATCAATGTCTTTTTGGAATTTACTTTTAAACGACGACAGATAGGTATAGAAAAGTACATGGGGAAGTCGAAGGGTATAAAATTCTCGTTTCATCGACGAATAGTAATACAGGGTGTTCTATTTGAAAAATTTGAAAAAAATGTCCTAGAAATTTTTGAAAATTGAAATTAATTTGTGACCACCCTGTACAAAATAAAAAATTAAAACTTGGTCTAAAAAAATCTTTGGTCTATTGGCTTTATACATTTGTAGTTTTTTAAATTCTAACGTCAAATTCGAGAGAGCACTGCATATTTTAATAGGCGTCTGAAAATGTAATATTTTTTGGTATTTCTTCTTTTTCTGCGAAAGGGGTAGGATGTTAGAAACAATATTTTGTGGGTATGCACTAGTGACCATAGAGTACCTAAAATTGGAAAAAAAGTTGGGTCATTTCATTTAAAAAAAATAAGTGATTTGCCTAATTTACTATTGGGCCACCCTGTACACAAGAAAATAATTTTGGGATATTTGGTTTTGACCACCATTGACAGGTATACTTCGAATAAATCGTTAAGATTTGCATAATAGGAGTTATAGAACTACGACAGAGGTTTGGCCAACCCTGTATAATTAACATATCTACTCAATTTCTGCGTGTTCTGTTAGTGTCGCTAAACTATATTTTGAAATTCATCAACATTCTTTCAAAAGAAATCCGGTATAGAATAGGCTTAATTTGTTCGAATTTTAACTGATATAAAAATCCATTTAGGATCTCTAACAATGTTCGGTGTTATTCCTATACTAAGAGAAGAAATAATATTGAATGCTTACCTAGCTCATTTCCAACAGTTAAGTAGAAAAAACCACTTATAACAACCAAGAAACTTAATGAGTTCATTTTTAAATATAAAATGTTCAACAGTTTGAACGTTATTTATAGGTATACTTGTTTCTGTTTTATAAATTTATGTATTATGCCCATTAGTACTTATTCAAGTTAAATATCATATTAATGAAGAATTAATGGCAATTCTGAAAAAAAATATCGGTTTCTTACACCAAATAAACTTGTTTTTATCAATATCTCAAAAAATATCTTTTTTTTTTTCGGTCAGAGAAGTGAATCGAAAAGTAGAAATATTTGTATACAGGGTGTTTATTAAAGAAATCCATTTAGGATCTCCAACAATGTTCGGTGTTATTCCTATACTAAAAGAAGAAATAATATTGAATGCTTACCTAGCTCATTTCCAACAGTTAAGTAGAAAAAACCACTTATAACAACCAAGAAACTTAATGAGTTCATTTTTAAATATAAAATGTTCAACAGTTTAAACGTTATTTATAGGTGTACTTGTTTCTGTTTTATAAATTTTTGTATTATGCCCATTAGTACTTATTCAAGTTAAATATCATATTAATGAAGAATTAATGGCAATTCTGAAAAAAAATATCGGTTTATTACACCAAATAAACTTGTTTTTATCAATATCTCAAAAAACATCGTTTTTTTTTTTCGGTCAGAGAAGTGAATCGAAAAGTAGAAATATTTGTTTATTAAAGAATGGGCCAAACTTCAGATGTGATTAGTTTGGATAAAAATAGGTCCATTTAAGCCAATTTACCTTAGTAGAATTTTGCTTGCTTAAGAAGTAACAGGGTGGAGAAAATAATTACTTTTAATATTTTTACGATAATTCAAATATTTTTTGAGTAAATATACCCAAATTTTGTGAAAGAAAGTTTTTTAGGTGATACAAACGAATACCAGCTTTTCGGTTGCATTACATGTACAGGACGTTCTAAACTGGCGTGCCAATCTAGTATTTACTTTTTCAAGAATGGACATTTTTGAAAAATTATTCATTATTTTGAAAAAGCGTTCAATTTGCTTTAAAAAAGGTATACCTGTTGCATGTCGCTAAAATGCATCATTTGAAGGAAAATTTAATTTAAACTTAGTAGCAAATGTATGGATTACATATTTTCTCAATTTAATAATGTTAAAACTAAGGATAATACATAAATTATAACAAATTAATCCAGAACTTTATTAAATATTTAGTAGATACTTGAACAACATAAATGTTAAAGAATATTTAAAAATAACAAATTAAAAAACTTAACAATTTCAAACTAAGAACAATAGCAAAAGCGAAAAATTTATTTCAAATTATTTGTTAAAAAGGTCCGCCATTTACTTTAATGCATTTTCTACATCTTTTCAATAAATTTCTTCTAACTGCGAAGAATGAATGGTCTTGTGGAATAACATTAGCCGCTAAAGGTACCATTTGGGTAGGCGCGTCAGGAGACAAGCGACCACTGAAGCGACCCCAAGGTCGAGTAGGAAGACAGATGCATAAATATTACGCTTCGTACATTTTGCAAGCTTGAGAAATGTCGCGCGACATTTACAAGGATAACCATTCGAGGGAACAATCAGCGTTGCTAGACCTACTGTTTTCACGTAGATCTACTGTTTTGGTCTTTAGCAAATTTTGTTCTTAATTTATTGTTTGCCTCATTCTTCAGCAAATGGTTAAAGAATATTTTCTCTAGTAAATTTTCTGCAGTAAAAGCAGTGTAATGAGCAGCCACTATTGTAGGTTTGTTTTTATTTAAACTGCAACAAAGAATTAATAGGACAACAGGATAAAAAGAATATGCATGTACGTATTTGAATTATTTGATTCAGACTGGTCTGAAAGAAATACCTATTATTTTTCATTAGTTTTTTTTTTGTTTCCTGACGTTAAGTATAGGTATAATAAAAATTTATTTTTCGTTTCTTATATAATTATTTGTTTTTTTCCTACACTGTAAATTATAATTATTTCCACCTGTACTAAAATTTACTGTTAAGATTCAATGATCTATTGTTTTTTATTTTTTTTTTCGCTAATTTTCATCTGGCAACTCTGGCCGACAGATCGATAGAACTTGTATCATTATTCAGTTCGGAGAGAGTGGTTTTTGTGGAAACATATTATTAGGAGTTATTTCTAAAAAAATGATCAAAGGACGAATAATAAAAATGTTACTCGAGGAGGAAGAGGATGATGACAAGTTGTTGTATTTTTTATATAAAAAAAGGCGACTAATGAATTCAATGTATAAAAATAGAAGTAATTTATTCTGTGTTAATAAACACTCATTTAGCTCTAAACGAAGATAAATTCAGACAATTTTTCAGGTTAAATAAAAATCAGTTTAATTATATATTAAGTTTGCCTCATTCTTCAGCAAATAATTAAAGAATATTTTTTCTAGTAAATTTTCTGCAGTTAAAGCAGTGTAATAAGCATCCACTACTGTAGGTTGTAAATAATCATTGTTTTTATTTAAAATTAAACAAAGAATTAATAGGGCATCATAAAAAGAACATGCATATGCCAAACACTACGATTTTGAATTATCTAATTCAGACTGATCTAAAAGAAGTAGGTACTTATGATTTTTCATTGGTTTTTCCCGTACGTTAAGTATATAATAAAATTGTTTTTATTTGTTTTTATGGTTTGTTTACTTTCTAATTTGGGTAGGAAAAAGTTTATTTTTCGTTTCTAATATACTTATTTTTTATTTACTACACTGCAAATTATAATTATTTCCCCCTGTATTAAAATCTACTGTTCAAATCTACGGTTTTTTTTACCCATACTGTTCCAAAATCTGGCAACGCTGCCTAGATCGAAAGAAATTTCCATCCTGATCACCCTCAAAATGAACCGATGCTCGAGGACAGTGACCCCGAGTGCGACATGCAGCAAACCTTTGCCCCGAGGCAGATTCAGAAGTGTCTCCAGTAAGTGTCGTCTTGACGACACTTCTAGTGTCGCGCCGTGCGAAATGTGTTTCATATAATTGTATGTATTTTAGATGTGAAGCGACACTTCTCGGTCGCGTCGGCGATCGTATGTCGCGTCGGCGGTCGTCTGTCGTCTGTACCGAAATGGTACCTTAATACTATTTTTGCCACAATTCATTTCTGGTATTAACAGTAGGGCCAGAATAAACTAGAGTCTTAATATAACCCCAGAAATAAAAATCCAGATGGCTCAAATCTAGACTACGTGCAGGCCATGGATGTTCACTTCCTCGTCCAATCCATCGATGGGGGAATACGTCGTTTAAATGATTTCGTACTGCTATGAAATAATGGGCAGGGGCGTCATCTTATATATACCACGTACCATCTCTAATATTGGTGAACTACAATATGGTGAACTACAGTAGGATACACGGAAATTATTTTGAGGTTTGTTTCTATACTCTTTATTAAAATGAAAATGTTCTATTGTAATTTATTAAACTTCAATTATCTACCATTGTAGTAAGGATGTTTTTTTTTAGATACCAGATGATTGTGAAAACTGTTCATTTTTGAAAATTAAATGATGGATAAACCTTTACATATTAAGAAGTGGGTAGTATCACACAAATGTCTCCAAAAATATTGTTATTCTCCACACAAGAGCCAGCTCACTGATTCTGCCAAAAAAAGAAAAATAGAAAAAATGTTTTCTAAAAAGTTGGCTGGAAAAGAAAATAACCTTCTACTAGAGGTGTTTTTCGTCTCTATTTAATAAAAATACACCAAATCTTCAAGATGCAGCAGCAATTTCCGACATTGTCTCCCCTTCAACAAATTTAAAATGAGCCTAGTAAGTTTAAAAGTATATAACCTTTCAACCTCTCTGCAAGAATATCCAGAACCTCCTGAAAGTATTAAAGATAGTGAAGTTTTGCATGAATCAGAAGAAACATCTGTAATATCTAATTAAAAGGGACGTAATATTAATGAGTAGAAACTTTAAAAACAATCAAAATAAACCAAAGTTATACTTTAGGATTGCCCAACAGTGTTTTTAAAATTTTCAGAGATATTTTTTATGAGAAGGAAAATGTAGCTTACATAAATCTTCTACATTTCTGTGTGAATTTTAGGCAAAGTAATTCACTTGGTAATAGCTGCAATATTTGTGACTAAATAATATTTTAATAAAATGTTTGTGTTTCTGTTTTTTTAATAATTTATCAGAGAATATTATAATTGTATGCAAACAAAAATGTAAAATATGTGAAAATATTATTTGTTTACCTATTATTAAAAAAAATAAAGTACCTGAATAAAATATACGAAGTAAAAAACACTTTATTTGCAAATAACAAAAAAAATTATACAAGCCTTAACAATAACTTGGAATGAAACATTTAAAAATAACATCCTTCCAGAATGCAATTGGACAAATTAAAATGTCTTCTGAAGATTTATTATCAAATTCAACTTATTATTTCTATCTAATTATTTACTTCAAATGCGGGAGAAGCAATCCAAAATACTTTATGTTCAGGTGTAATTATTTCGTTTACTGTGTTATTCATGACAAATTGCATTATCTCCAAATACTTGCTTGGCGGATCTAAAAATATTAAAATACTATTTAAAGAAGTGATGATTTTTTAGTATTATCGAGAGTACATTTTTATAGTTTCCTTTTTTTTTCAATTTTTATTACTTTTTTACGTTCAAAATTATTTCAAAAAATATATATTTGTGTTTTTATTATTAAAATTTAGCAATATTATCGTAGATTTATTTATAAATACTAGACATGTGCATAATAGTTGTAACAGGAAGAGTTTATATACATTTACAAAAAGTAGTTATTCATACACAAAAATCTGATGACTTTCCTATCTAGTTATTATAGGCTTTTTCCGGTTATTTTGTACAACCTATTATAGCACCTCTATAAATGTTTAGAGAATAAACTAAACATATACATTTTCCACATACATCTAACTCGAAACATTTTTCTATAGATATTCATTGAAAACGAAAATACTGAAAAATTTAAATTTAGCACTTTTCCTCCAATTTTTCCAGTACGGCCCATTTTAGAAAAATCATGTAATAACAAAAATTATAGAGATCGATATCGCAAACAACTTTTAGTTTAACAATTTTCTTAAAAATCAGAATTTTACACATTTTGTCAAATTTCTCGAATACGACCATTTCAGGAAAATTTGACATAGAACAAAAATTATAGATAATAATATTAGAAGTAACTTTTATAAGAACGATTTTCTTCTCTAAACATAAATATTCCATAAAATATAAAAACGGCCTCCCATAAAGTACCCCCCAGATGTTCTGACTTTGTCTATAATCTAATAATTTCACGTCTGGCAGAAATAAAACTTGTTTTTACCTTTATAAGTTTCTGAGTTTTCTTCAAAATTTGAAATTTA